AAAAAAAAAAAAATCTTTGTTATTCTTTATTTCCGTAACATGCACATAGTTTACTATGGCATGCATGTTCCCCCCTCCAATGCCCCATTCCTGAATAAACACTTTTTTTTTTGTTTGTTTGTTTTTGAGACAGAGTCTCTTTTGCACTCAGTAGAGTGCCATGGGGTCATCCAGGCTCACAGCAACCTCAAACTCTTGGGCTCAAGAGATTCTTCTGCCTGAGCATTCTGAGAAGCTGGGACTAAGGCATCTGCCATTTTTCTATTTTTAGTAGAGACAGGGGTCTTGATGTTGCTCAGGCTGGTCTTGAACTCCTGAGCTCAAGCAATTCACTTGCCTTGGCCTCCTAGCGTGTTGGATCACAGGCGTGAGCCACCACACCAGCCTGTCATTTTCCTTTAGAGAGCCTCTCTGTTTGTTATTTACGGTGACCACCTCTTAGAGCCTCCACCTTGATGTATAAAACGAGAATACTACACCCCTCACAGTGTCGGCCTGGGGATTAAATGAGATGATGCAGCAGTCCCGGCCCACAGAAAAGGCTCAATAAAGGCAACAGGAGGAGGAAACACAAACCGCGTTGTGCCGCGGCTTCGTTCAGTGGCCAAATCTGATGCAGACTTGGCAAGGACGTCCTCAGATGGTGTTTACGATTTAACCGCCACACACACCATGCTCTCCAGGGTGTGAACAAATACACTTGGCTCCAAAGACAGCGTTGAAACAAAGGATCTGAGGGACACTGACTGCAGTCACAGGTTTGGACAGAGAAGTAAAACGTGGCTGAGAGGGTGGCGCCTGTGGCTCAGTGAGTAGGGTGCCGGCCCCATATGCCGGAGGTGGCGGGTTCAAACCCAGCCCCGGCCAAAAACTGCAGGAAAATAAAATGTGGCCGAGAACATGTGCTTGTTAAGATGGAGGCTGGTGACGAGATCTGGCTTGAGCCCAAGTTTTCCCCATATTTGGCTCACAGGGTTAATATTCTAAAAAGCACTAAAATAACAAATGAAGATAAGTTCCATTTCTGGCGAGGTGGCGTGTACATATGGCAGCACACCTCTCCTGCTGATCACGATTAAGAAGTCTTGTCAGAGTGTAAAAACAACTACCTGCATCCTGAGACACGTAAAGAATGAAATACAGTGTGGTGGAGAGTCCAAACTTGCTGACGGACAGCGGGGAAATCTCTCAGCTTCTGTTGTCCTGGCAGCTTTGCCCCGAGGGTGATTTCCCATCAAGGAGCTGGGAAGGTGGGGTGAACTGCTAACATCTGGATAGAAACCC